TGGACTTCTTGCTCCACTTCTTGATGACTGTGGTCCTGGCTTCATTCTTCTTACTCATGGAGATGCAGGGCTTCATTTCTTCTTACTCATGGAGATGCAGGGCTACAGTTTGCTGAAAAGAGGCTCAGCTCAGTCATGCTGAGGCTATAATTGCAAGAGATGTTGTCAACGTCTCTCAGCTTTGGCAAGGTCCAGGAAAGAATCTGGGAAGGGATGCAGAATCCTTGTTCAATTTATCTCTTGGGTCACCAAGCTGATGACTCAGGCAACTGATCATAATGGATGATCGAAAGAAGAAAGAAGAGCTCCTGTTCCCTTCAGGTCTCTCTATCTTTCCTTTCTTTCATAGGATTCCCTGCACTCTGCCCAAAGTTTGGCTATGAATTTCAGCATATGTTTTGATACCCTGCTGGATAGAGTCTTTAAGAGGCCCTCTGTCAAAGGCTCCTGTCCTATTCCTTGTTTTCTCCCTCTTCAGATGTCAGTTTCATTTGCCTTTCTGAATGAAGATTGAGCATCTTACCCAGGGTCCTCCTTCTTGATTAGCTTCCTTCGGTGTATAGATTTTTGTATGATTATCCTATATTATATGTGTCTAATATCCACTTATAAGTGAGAATATACCATGTGTGTCTTTCAGAACCAAAAAATCTGGGCACAGGGCTCTTTTCTGAGATAGTCCAAACAAGAACCATGCATGGAGATAACTTAGAACTCCTGCACAGAAGTAGCCCATGGCAGTTCAGTGTCCAAGAGGGTTCCCCAATAAAAGGAATAGGGATCGTCTCTGACATGAACTCATGGGCTGGCTCTTTGATCACCTCCACCTGAGGGGGGAGCAGCCTTACCAGTACAGAGGAAGACAAAGAAGCCAGTCCTGATGAGACCTGATAGACTAGGGTCAGATGGAAGGGGAGGAGGACCTCCCCTATCATTATACTGGGGGAGGGGAATAGGAGAAGAGAGAGGGAGGGTGGGATTGGGATGGGGAGGTGCTACAGCTGGGATACAAAGTGAATAAATTATAATTAAGAAAAATAAAATGAAAATTGGGAAAAAAAAGAAGATGAAGATAAAAGAGGGGAGGGAGCCCAGGATTCCTTCTCTAGCACTAGGGGCTGGCTACACTGCTGCTAAGGAGGAAAGCTTAAACTGACCACTATTTTCCTGCAGCAGCTGTTGTAAAAGTGGCTTCTATCCAAAACTGCAGGGGGTTGTAAAAGGAGGAGCTTTGATCTGAGATTAGCTCCTGCATAAGAGCAGGCAGCTGTGGAAGCTCCTGAAGGCTAAACTAAACTTCCTGCACACTTATTTTAGAAGGCTGATGGTTAGGTCCTGAATCTATTAGCTTATTTGTTTATCTACTAACCTATTTGTGTGAATAAGAAAAAATAAAGAGAGAAAGTAAGCAATGACCACTCATGCACACATGCTTAAGAAAAAATGGTAGATGAAGTTAAAAACTTTAATTTCAACCCAGTTTATTGTCTGGTCATAGTTTTTATACCTCTGAGACAAAGCTTTCTATGTCAGAAAAGAAATTACCTCATATTAAAAAAAGGCAATTAATCACAAAAATAGATGAATTCTAAAATACAACAGGTTATATGTTTTAAAACGAAACATTTCTTACCTATGTACCCATTTCATAAGTTCATAGTGAGTTCAGAGTAACAAAGGTTGACAAGGCCTAAGGTTACAGGGTCAAAAAAGTTACAAGAATATATCTCTTTTCAATTAGGACTGACCTGGCTACACATTCTCCAGCTATCTCTTAGTTTATAGTGAGTTCAGGACAATAATTTTATCTGTCTTTCATTCTAAGAAACAAAGTAAATTTAAAAGGACAGTATTTTATGCCATAAGGTGGCAAAGTATAAGGAATTGCAATAGAACACTTTGTATTTAATGACATCAAGATTTGTACTTAATTTAGACATTTCTTGGTGGCCCATTATATTTTGGGTTCATGGACGTTTAAACCTACTTGTGTTTACTTTTAAACCTATATTTATGGTGTATACTAGGATTCATGAATGAAAGCTTATTTGAAGCCACAAATCTGTCTCAAGCCTGTCTCCTAGTGAGCTGAATGGAGGTACACAAAGATATTTATTGCAGCCATAAATCATTCTAAAACAATTTAAATTTTTTTTAAGTAGTTTTATTTAGGACTGAATTCCCAATCTCCAGACTTGGAGCCTGGTGCTTTACCAACTGAGCCACTTAAGGCTTTCTAACAATTTAACTTTTAAAATTGTTTGAATCAAATCAGGAATTACATAATCAGGAATTAATTCATCTGAACAGCAGTATACCTTCATTAAGATTCTGTAGGTGTGGGTAAATAACCAGAAGGTGATGGTTCACACCATGCTAAATTTTAGAGAGATGCAACGGTACAGAAATGACAGGGTTGTCAGGTTGGAAGCAATTCTGGGGGGGGTCCATCATGGTACAGACCTTGCAAAATACCAGATTACCTCCTAGAAATCTCACATGGCTATTGAGCTCTTTTAACAGAATGGCTGTTGTAAGATGGATGTCATTTGTGTTTGTCTTCTAGCAGACTAGCAGAAGAGTGTATAGCCTAGGAGGCAAGCTATAAGTTGCACCTCTCTATAAAGTACCAGGGACATGGAATTGTGAAGTAGTACAGGGAAAGACATGTATATTTGTGGACAAAATAGTCAACCACACTGGTGTAACAAAACATATGCTTGTTTCTTTTTAATATTTCCAGCAATATAGATAGAGCATTGATTTATTTTTCAAATCATAGGTTTAAAAATATTTACATCTTATCATTATTAAAATAAATCTAGTAGGATATCTGAAGGTGAGGCATTAATCTCCCACTTCTAGAAACTTTTTCTCAACACAACCACAATGACTTTTAGCTCCCAGATTATCTGTTCCTTTGGTTTTTGTTTTGTTTTGTTTTGTTTCTGTCTGATAAGCAACACACTACTAAATAGGGAAGAACATTCTTGGCTCAATTCAGGGGAGGTTTTTTTTTATGTATAAGAAGGGGCTTCTGTAACTTCTCTCTTTTGTAAATTCATTTTTAAAGCTTGATTAGAAGCTGACTTGACTAGGAGTTCTCACTAACCCAAATGATAATCTATCACCAATAGCACAACTAAGAAGAAAGATATGAAGGAGACTGAGGAAAACAAACCTGAGTGACATCTGTGTAGCATGTAGCTAGGGTCCAGAGGGTTTAGAATCTAAATCACCATAGTTGGGTGAGCCCATAGACCACAAATCCCAAGTTCCTGTCAATCCAGAGCTGTGTATGTTAGTTCATATGCTCAAAGCTAGAATTTTCTATATAACTAATCCAATAATTTCAAGCTTGGCAAGTAGAAATTCTTACAGAGGTATTTCATCACATTTACAAGTTAAAGTTTCAAGTCTTGCTTATATTTTTTCTATTTTGGATTTTTAAATCTTTGAATTATGTTTGTATCCAAAAATAAGGCTCTGGAAGATAGTCTTCCCTCTTCATCTATATTCTTTTTTTTTTTTTTTTTTTTTATCCAGGCTTATCCTGCCGAGTAATTAAGCTATGTTCCCAAGGTAGAATTATTATTTCCAAAGCAAGGGCTTCTGTCCCTGATCTATCCAGCCCCTTCTTTGCCCAGAAAAACATACCCAGGGCTTTTTTTCTCCTGGGACTATCCAGGGGTTAATGTTTGGTTGTTTTACACACACTTTTCCCAGGCCCATGAATTTTTCAAGTATGGAGGTTAAGAGATAAAGACCATGGGGAAAGAGGCAGATACAAAGGTAGTGGGGTGGCAGGAAATAGCAGCGATAATATAAAACCAGTTTACATACAAATAGCAACCTTTTCTCAGTGCTGAGGGATCCATTTTGCTTCTGATTCTATGTGGTTCTAAATACACTCCTGCTATTGTTTCCACGTACCCCTTTCTTTTAGCCCTCTATGCCTGATGGAGGAATTGGTTTTTCTCCTCACTCTTGGTCACTCACTACCTCCAGCCTTATGCTCTCCCTGGGAAGATCAAACAAGAGTCTTTAGCCTACTCACTAATGATGCATATTTTATAAACAACAATTTTATAAACATCATGTAAGGAGCGGTGGCTTGAGAAACATGTAAACAATGGAGTTTAATATTGAAAAGATTTTCCATGTTTTCAGAGATAAAAATAAAAAGGGAAAAATGTGTCATACATTTATATATAAAAGGATCATGAGACTCAAATGAAGTTCCCAACAAGCTATTTCATTTCCCACTTTCTACAACCTGATAAAGCCTTCAGAATTAAACACAGGTAGGAGATGGAATTAAAGACCAGGACATTTCTTTCCTAATGTAAAGGCCCCTGCTCACTTTTGTGTTCATTCGGGACCAACAATGCATATCTCTTCCTCCTTCGCACTCAGTCCTGACACCCTTCTTCCTGTTAATTCTATGACTTTCTTGTTAGAAATAAAAAAGATATGGTGAAGATTGGTAAAATCGTATTATCACAAGGCAATGAGGCTCTTTATAGGGACAGAGATGGGTTCTTAAGAACGCAAAAGAACCTAGCAAAAATTATTCTAGAATATTTCCTGAATATGTATTATATTTACAATAAGTGATATGATTCAGTCTGGACATAATCCTAAGGTTCTGGGTACCCAATTTAAAACTCTCTATTCTTCAATATGTCTTTGAGCAGTGGTTCTCAACCTTCCTAATGCTGTGACCCTTTAATACAGTTCTTCATGTTGTGGGTGTACTCCAACCATAAAATGATTTTTGTTCCTACTTCATAACTGTAATTTTGCTACTGTTATGAACTATAATATAAACATCTGTGTTTTCTTATGGCCTTAGATGACCCCTGTGAACCAAAGGGGTTATGACCCAAAGGTAAGAATCGTTATCTTTGAGACTTGTTACTATATACAATCTACTCCCTTCTCCCCTGCTTAAAAAAAAAAAAAAGAAAAGAAAAAGAAAAGGCAAACTTCCACTTGCTTTACAATCCAACAGAGACTTCTTGCTCACCAGTGGAAGGGGTGAATGTTGAGCTTACTCGATCTGTGGTCTCCCTATAGAAAACTGGGCATTGTTTGCAGAGACGCTTGGCAATGTGCCTTCTGAAGAATATGGAGAGATACCTTCGGAATTTCTCCCCAACAAAGGCATATATAACAGGATTAATACAGCAGTGTGTCATTCCTAGAGTCTCTGTCACCTGCATGGCCTGGTCTAAGTGCTTGGCAACCACACAATTACTCAGTCCCAAGAATTCTTGGAAGGTTGTTAGGAAGAGAACAATGTTGTAAGGAGTCCAGAAGAGAAAGTAGACAATCATGATGGCAAAGATGAGCCTCACTGCTCTGTGCCTTTTCTTCTCATTCCTACAGCGAAACAGGGTGTGGAGGATTCCTGAGTAGCAGATGACCATGACAAGTAGGGGCAGGATCAGGCTCAAGATATTCCTCATTATGGTATGGAAATTCTTCCATATTAGTGGAAAATAAGGACCACAGGTGTGATGATGATCTTCTTCTTTGAATTTAGTAAATATGATTCCTGGAAGAGAGGCAAACACTGCAACCACCCAAGTGACTCCACTTGTCATCACCCCAAAGGTAACTGTCCTGGCCTTTAAAGCAAGCACAGCATGAACAATAGCCAAGTACCTATCAACTGTCAGGAGGATAATGAAGAAGATTCCACCAAAGTAACCAATGTGATAGAGTCCCGTGAATAATTTACACATTATATTTCCAAAGACCCACTCATTTGCAGCATAGTGAGCCCAGATTGGGAGAGTGAGCAGGAAGAGCAGGTCAGAGATGGCAAGGTTGAACAGGTAGATATCAGTCATGCTCTTCAGCTTTTTGCAGCTTATCAGAATGAGAATGACCAACATATTGCCCACAAAACCAAAAATGAATACAAGAGAGTAGAGTGGAGGCAGGATCCAGGCTCCAATTTGCTTCACACTGGGTTTATGACAAGGCTCACCATCATCATAGTCATAAGATGTAGTGGCCTCTTCTTCAAAATCTTGGATACTTTTTGTAAATAGAGAATGAGATGTTGATAGTATGCCATGGATGATCTGAGGTAACATATCACTGTCCTCCATTTTCCTTGATCCTGTGGCAGAGAACAAAATTATAACCTATAACACAAATGCCAAATTCCTTAATCCAAATAGCCTTGCCCCACTCAAGCAGCATCCTAGTCTTTGGTTTCTCCTTTATAGTCATTTCCTTGATACCATATGCATATCACTTTCCTTTTATTCCTAACAGGAGACATACCTTGTTAATTCAGCAACTGTTTTCTTAACATATTTGGCAATCCTTATTGAGCGTGTAAGGGCACAAAAGGTGCGTGCCTACATTTATTACCTTCTCTGCATGTGGGGAACAGGTGCATGACCAATCACTGAGTGATAAGATGTAAGCAGAGTCTGTAGAAGGTTTTTAGGGAGGTTCTTCCACAATACAAGTGATACAAAAGAGACACTACTGGCCCCTTCTATTTCAACCTGTCTAGCATAAGCTTGGTGCTTGGCACTATAAACAAAAGACCTAGACATTGTACAGAAGCCACACAAAGGGCTCACTTTCTGACTTCTTATCTGAGAAAGAAAATAAGCCATTGTAAATTGTATCATCTGTTCTTTGAAGGCAAAAGCTCAACTTCTGCCTCCACCATCTTCTCACATTTCCTTTGGTAAGGTTGCATGACAAGTCAATGTTAAAATGCCTTAACTTTGTCCCAGATTCTTTTCATTGAGCATCAATTTCCTTATTCAAAACTCTTTTTTAAGGGATTGGAGATGGCTCAGAAGTTAAAGGCACTTACTGCTTTTGCAGTAAGTTGGTTTCCTGCACCCACAGCTGGGAGCTCATAACTTCCCGAAATCTCAGTTTTAGGGGGTCTAGCATCTTTTGACCTCCATGGGCACCTGTACACACTTTAGTCACATAAACTGAAGTAGGCACAGATACTTACACAAAATAAACATAAATATCTAAAAAAAAAAAAAAGAACATCTTTTTCAGCTTCTAGGAGGGTACTCTTACATGACTGCTTATTAACATTTTTGTGACATCTCCATGCCCACTTCATAAAACTTTTCAGGCACTCTATTTGGCTTTTACCTTTTTCTTTTTATTCTTGTCCAAAATTCTTCTAATTCAGATGGGCTGAATTATGTCAGCTAACCTCAGGACTTTGGCTCTCCTGCATGCATATATTTTCCAAAGCTCTGTATACAAGTCCTACCTTCTCTGACACCTAAGAGTTTAATTTCTCACTATTTGATGGTATCTCTTCATGAATTTGTCCACCCAGCTGATATTTATTTAGCATATAATATGACTTATACATGAGGGGGACACAGATACACTGCTGTACATGTACAGATTGTCAGAGGACAATCTGCCCTTTCACTCTTCTGTGAACTCAGGTCATTAGGTTTTCACAGCAAGTACTTTGACACAGTAACTATCTTGCCAACCAAACTGTGAAGTCTTCATTTCAATTATTATCATCCATTACACTGTGTAAGAAGTAAACTCTGAGGGGGAACCAAGATGGCAGCACCAGGAGGACACTGTTTGATGAGTAGGACAGCAGTGACTGCACAGCAACCAACAGACCAAACTCTGGGCCCTAAAACAGCAGCGATTGTGTTTCCCAAGTGAGAGGAAACCCCATGGTGTAGGAAGCAATCAGGTTCAGGTCACCCAGCTAAACCTCAGAAGAGTTCCCAGGTTCCAGCAGGCACTCGGTCGCCAGCCCAGAGCCACATGCCTGCACGCTCTGATCACCATCCCAGACTGAACTGTGGGCACCACAACACCCAAGACAGGGAGAAAACCCCATGGTAAAGGAAGCAATTGGGACTGACCTCAGGTCAACCAGACAATCCCTGGAAAAGGTCTCAGGATCCAGCAGGAGCTCAGCTGCCAGCCCAGAGACCTGCCTGCATGCCTGACTCGCCATTCTAGACAGAACTGTGGGCCCCAGGGCACTAGAGACTGGGTTTCCGGGTTGGGAGGAAACCCCACGGTGAGGAAAATATCAGCTCTGACCTCAGGATACTCAGCCGACCCCCCCCCGAAAAATTCTTGGGAAAAGTTCCCAGGTTCCTGCAGTTGCCTAGTCACTAGCACGGAGCCATTCACATGTGCCTGCAGGCCCCCAAACACCACAGACTGGGTTTCCCTGTCAGGAGGAAACCCCATGGTGGGGGAAACATCAGGTCTGACCTCAGGAAAAGTTTCTGGGTTCCTGAAGGCTCCAGGCTCTAGCCTCCTGCTGCACACTTGAATGCTGCACTCACCTGCCACTGATTACCATGTGGGTACTGGGGCACAGAGCTCCAACCTCAGACCTACAGAAGCCTGAGAGCCCTGAATCAGCCCCCAGATACTGCTCCAAGGTGCAACCAGTTATCCCTAGCTAAACTGACCAAACCACAGGGCTCCCTGGTTCTTCAAGAGGGCTGCACCCAACACTGTAAGAGCAGCAGCAACAGTTCACTAAATTCAAAGCAAGAAACCCAGTGGCAGGGCAGATGTCTCCAGGACTTCTGGTGAGAGGACAGACCCTGACTACCAATGACCACAGTTACCACACAGATCCATATGCCTGAGGTGAGCTGTGGCAATTCCTGAGAAGCACCACCATTCAATTGACCACACCCAAAATGCTGAGGAGGCCTCCTTCAGAATCCTGCCAAGAGGATTCTTCCCACGCCAGGATTCTAGCAGGCACCAGAAACTAACAGCCAATACCTGAGACAGCCAGATGGGTAGAGGCCAGGGTAAAAATACAACCAACAAAAGGCAAAGCAATATGGCATCTTCAGAACCCAGTTATCCAGGGGCAAGTAGCCCTGGATACCCTAACATAAGTAAAATTTAAGAAGATGACCTTACATCTATGCTTATGAAGAGAATAATGGAGGAAACAAATAAAAAGCATAAAGAAATAGAGGAAGATAAAGTCATACAGATTATGGCCATATGTAAAGAAATACAGGAAGATGCAGTCAAACAGTTTGTGGCCTTCAGAGAGAAAATGATTAAATCACTGAAAATAATAATAATAATAATAATAATAATAATAATAATAATAACAACAACAACAACAGAGGAATGTCAGGTGAAGGAATTGAAGTGAAAAACAGGAAAATACAGTCAGACAGGTGAAGGAAATCAACAAAACGGTTCAAGATCAGAAGATAGAATTAGATAAAGAAAACACAAATGGAGGAAATCATGGAGAGGAAGAACTTAGGGAAGAAAACAGGAACTAAAAAGGTAAGCACAACCAACAGGCTATAAGAGGTGGAAGAAAGAATCTCAGGTGTGGAAGATACAATGGAAGAAATTGATGTTGCCATCAAAGAAAATTATAAATCTAAAAATTACTTACACAAACCATCCAAGAAATCCAAGACAACATGAAAAGACAAAACCTAAGAATAATAGGAATAGAGGAAAAAGAAGATTCCCATCTCCAAAGCCCAGAAAATATTTTCAACAAAATCATAGAAGAAAATTTCCCCACTTTAAAGGAGAGGCCTATAAGCATACAAGCGGCCTACAGAACACCTAACAAATTAGACCAGAAAAGAAAATCCTCCCGCCACGTAATAATCAGAACAGTAAGTAAACAGAACAAAGAAAAAACACTAAAAGCCGCAAGGGAAAAAGGCCAAGTAACATATAATGGCAAACCCAACAGAACCACACCTGACTTCTCAGCAGAGACTATGAAAGTCAGAAAGGTCTGGATAGATATCATGCAGATCCTAAAAGAACATAGTCAGCCCAGGCTATTGTACCCAGCAAAACTCTCAGTTATCATAGATAGAGAAAACAAGACACTCAATGACAAAAATAAATTTAAACAATACCTATCCACAAATCCAGCATTACAGAAGATACTAGAAGGAAAAATACAATCCAAGAAAACTAACTACATTCAGGAAAATACAGGAAATTAATAACCTCACTACAGCAAAACTAAAAATAGCCAAATACACAAACACACTATTACAACCAACATCAAAATCAAAAGATCTAACAGCAACTGGTCATTAATCTCTCTCAACACCAATGGACACAATTCTCCAATAAAAAGATACAGACTAAGAGGATGGATGCATAAACAAGACCCAACAATCTGTTGCATACAAGAAACACATCGGGTTCCCTTGTAATGGAAACAAGGACTATCTCTGACATGAACTCAGTGGCCTGTTCTTTGATCACCTCCCCCTGAGGGGGTATGCAGCCTTACCAGGCCACAGAGGAAGACAATGCAGCCAATCCTGATGAAACCTGATAAACTAGGATCAGATGGAAAGGGAGGAGGACCTCCCCTATCAGTGGACTGGGGCAGAGGCATGGGTGGAGAAGAGGGAGGGAGGGTGAGATTGGGAGGGGATGAGGGAGGGGGCTTCAGTTGGGCTACAAAGTAAATAAACTGTAATTGAAAAATAATTAATTAAAAAAAAAAAGAAACACAACTAAGTCACAAAGATAGATATTACTTGAGAATAAAGGGCTGGAAGATAGTTTTCCAAGCAAATGGAGCCAAGAAGCAATTTGGAGTAGCCATTCTAATATCTAATAAAATAGACTTTCAACCAAAATTAATAAAAAGAGCTGGAAAAGGACACTTCATATTCATCAAAGGAAAATTCCACCAAGAAGACATCACAATCCTGAACATCTATGTTCCAAATACAATGGCATACACATTTGTAAAAGAAACATTAATAAAACTTAAACCACACATAGATCCCCACAAATTAATAGTGGAAGGCCTCAACACCCCACTCTCAACAAAGGATAGGTCAACAAAACAGAAATTAAACAAACAAACAATGATTCTAACAGAGGTCATGAATCAAATGGACCTAACAGACATCTATAGAACCTTTTCACCCAAACACAAAAGAATTTACCTACTTCTCAGCACATCATAGAACCCTCTCCAAAATAGACCATATAGTTGGTCACAAAGCAAGTCTCAACAGATACAAGAAGATTGAAATAATCCCTTGTATCCTATCTGACCACCATGGACTAAAGCTGGACCTCAATAACAACAGAA